TACAGATATAAAACTTACTTTTATCGTAGTCCTCTTGTGGCTTGTTTGTAAAATCTTCCCCTACCCCAAGGTCACATAGATATTCTCCTACAATAATTCTAAAACTTTGATGGTTCTTTTTCAAATTTGAGCCTTTAACTATGATAGTATTTTTTTAGACAGATAGATAGAAATCCAACTTAATTTTTTCCAGTATAAATATTATTTTATCCAGTATCATTAAATAGTCTCTTCTTTACCCGATTATTTGTATGGCATGTTTTGTTACATGTTCCATTTGTAGATGTCTGTGAGTTTGTTTCTATTTCTATTATAATTTTATTGATCTATTTGTCCCCAAACTAATACTACACTTTTAATTATTAGTGCTTTACATAACGATCTTGATGTCTAATAGGTCATGTCCCTCATTTTCTGCTGCTTTTCCCCTGTCAGAGGTATTTTGGCTTTCCTATATATGCCTCCTATACACAAATTTTAGAGTCAATTTAGAATTTTAGAATAAATTTGTTAGGTTGCACAAAAGCCTCAGTAAGATTTAACAGGAGTAGACAAATCTGAGAAAACTTGATAGTTTAAAATTTCTTGCATCCTATAGATGTACAATGTCAGCACAAAGAGACGTTAGAAAAGAGGCACCCTCTGCTACCATGTAATTCCTCTGCTGTTATGTAAACCTTCCTTCTGCAACACTCGTGGACAGAGTGCATAAAGGTATATGCTTAGGTATAAGCATTCCTTATAGAACTAGAACACTGGGAGAGCATTATGGAATAGTTTAATCCAACCTGCAAAAAAAGTTAGTCATCACCTAGTCAGTTCCTTAGACCCTCTATGCCTATCCTAAATGACCTGGTAAATGCCAACAGGGGAACAATTATTACACTTAATCCTCATAACAATCCTTGATACATATTACTGTAGCCTCTTTTTGGTGAGGAAACTGAGACTCAGAAAGGATAATTATTACATTCGAAACTTCACTTCTGAATTGCACTGTCTGATGAATGTCTGATGAAAAGTTATTGTTAGTGAAGTTACACAAGAAATATAAATCTAACAAATAGAATTTCTTGCCTCACAGTAATAAGTAGAGATTTGTGGATGAGGAAAGAGCCCCTCTGTTGAGATGAGACAATGCATAACATCCATGGGAGTTTAATGCTGGAGATTAGAGAGGATGGCCTCTGAACTCAGGTGGGCCGGCATTAGTGTCCCAGACTTAGGGACTTGTTGCAAATTCCTTTTCTTTTTCTTTTGGCTTCTTTTTGACATGATTTAGATTTAAAGAAAATGTATAAGAATGATACAAAGAATTCCCCTATACCTTTTCCCAGAGTCCTTCTTAAGTGTTAACCCATCTCCACATTTGTTTTATCATTCACATACGTACACACACATTGTTTTTCTGAACCATTTGAAAGTAAGTTACGGCCATGATGGCTGTTAATAATTCAGTGTGCATTTTCTAAAAACAAGGACATTTTATTGCATAACTAGAACAATTACAAAATCAGAAAATTAACATTGATCTAATTCTATTATCTAACCTTCAGGTTGCATTCAATACTTTTCCACTTACCCCTATCTTGTCCTTCATATCTAAGAAAATCTCAAATCTCCTGTTGCATTCAGTCTTTGTCTTTCATGACATTGACAATTTTTAAAAGAATAAGACAGACATATTTTAGAATGTTTCTCATTTTTCAGTTTCAGGTTATACATTTTTGACAGGAATATCCCAGAGGTGATGTTATGTCCTTCTCAGCACATGAGGTCAGAAAGAACATATTCTTTGTCCAAATGACTTTGGTAATTTGTTAGGATGAAATCTCTGGGTTCTTCCAGTTTTAAAATACTATTATTTTCATTTTTAATCAATAATTATCTATGGGACAAAACTTTTGGATCTAAGTAAGTATCTTAATCTCATTAATGTTTTAACCATTAGTTTTATCATCTTATGATTCTTCCCTTAGCAATAAATATGATGATCCTTGCCAACTGGTGGTTTTTTTAATTTCATTGTTCTTTATTAAGTATTACATGGCCTTTGACCCAAGAAAGAACTTTTGCTTCTTCCTCATTTGCTTATCTTTATCATCTGTATATCTGTATAGAGTCAATGTGGCAAGTTCCTAACCTTCATGAACCTCAGGTTTTCCTCCATAAGAGAGCAATGATAATATTTACCATCTATATTTGCTATATAGATTGAATAAGTTGATATATATAAAGTTCTCAAAATCATAAGCATCCAATAAATTGGAACTATTTATTTTAGCAATAATAATAACAATTGTCTGACTATTTTAATATCACTGACAAGATTGAGATGCCATTTTTTTTAGTACTTTTTGACTTTGGACAATTCATTTAATCTCTCTTGATCTCATTTTTCTCACTTATAAAACAAAGAAGTTCAGTTAAACAGTCTCTAAAGTCAACTGCAGTTCTAGTGTAAGAAACCAAGATTCTTAAATTCATTTTCTTCCACTACACCATCAAATACTCTGTACTAACTTTGCAATATGAATATTTTCCATAATTCCTAGTGTCCTTCCAAAATTCAAAGAATATATATTTTATCTCTGAATAAACAGTTTGAGTATTCCATTTAATCATACTTTATATTTTACTAATATTAGTTGGTCACAGCTATTTTCCAGCTATGCTGATGATTTTTGACAAAATGTGAAATACTAAGGACAGATGGCTTGCAGCTCCAACTGTTGGGGTTTATTTTCCTCTGCCAACAAGGTCTGTGATCCTTCAATGGACTGTGGCCTCAGACCACATGATGGCTCTGATTTGCATATTAGAGGAGGAGGAATTCAAACTTTTAAAATTTCTTTTGAAAACATATAAGTCACATAAAGAAGTGTACCAGTATATAGCTTAGAATTTTCTTATAGGTAGACTTGTACGAGTCCTTACACATTGTAGAAATGAAGGATATATTAATGGAAACCTAGTAAGTAGATTAATCCCATTCTTAAACATTTCCCATAGGAAAGATTGTCTGGGAGGGTAGGAGGGCCCAGGACTTGAATTCTGAATATAATATTCTGAACTTAAATCTTAGTTCTTACTAGTCCTGTAAACCATGCCAAGTTACTTAAGTTCTCTACATTTAAATTCCTTCTTATGTCAAGCTATAATAACATGACACATTTTCCTAGAGATATTTTGAGACATAAGTCAGTTCCGGTGAAAGCACCTAGTACATGATGGGTGCTTAATAAGTATTTAGTAAGTAAGAAAGAAAATAACTTCTGGAATAAATAAGGTTCAGAATGGCCAGAACCACCACCTTTAGCCTTTTCTACTATTTCAGCAAATGAACTTGGGAAGTTGGGAAGTACTGTCTTCCAGTTTGGGCATCTGAGGACTCTAGGAAATGAGTCCTTAATGACAGACCTAGTACAGGAGCCAGACTGGATGCAGCATAATCATCTGAGGGGTACTCAGTCATGAGTGTTGCCTCATCTTGAAGAATGTAAATCTTATAGAAGGGCCAAGATACTTTAAGTACTTCCCAAATGAATTTGATGTTTTGGAGCCCCTGACCTAAAATTAAGAACAATGAAGAGCATACCAAGTGAGCCATCAAATCATGGAGTAAGAACCAGGACTGGAGGCACCAAATGAGCTACCAGGAGCACAACATTGATGTTGAATACTGGTACTTAATACCTAATACTTACAAGTATTTAGATATTTCACTGTACAGGAGTATAGGCTCTGAAATCAAATTATCTTGGTTCATATCTGGATCCTACCACTTCCCAGCTATGTGACCTTGGCTCAGTACATAACATCCTTGAGTCTACTTCCATATCTCTAAAATGAAAGCTTTTGTAAAGTTTAAATGAGATCATCTGGTGAAGCACCTAATACAGTGCTGGCAGAGAGTAACCACCAAATGAATGTTAATTGTTTAACTATCCTGAGTTCATCATATGCTTTGAACAAGTGTCTTTATACATGCTGTTTCCCATGCTTGAAAAGCCTTTTCCACATTCCTCTGCTTGGTAGATTTCTTCTCATCTAAGATTTAAGATCCCACATCAAAATGCCATTCTCTTTTCTCTGTATGTTCGTCTCTGTCAGTGAAATCCTTCATGTCATGCGAATCTTTTTGTTATCAGAAAAATATCCTGATTATTGCCTACCAAGTCCTAATTAATCTCCCCTTTCCTGTCTTCTTTCACACAGATCAAGCTTACTTGTCTGAATTGACTTTAGAGATATAGTTCTTAGTTATGTTTGTGCCCTTATTTCCCTATTATTTTCTCTCTAAATACTCTCGTTGGGTGAACTCTTGCTTTCTCTTTTCTCCAGCTCTACATGTTGATGATGCCAAAATCTACTTCTCAAATTCATACTATTCGCCTAAGCCTAAAACCCATATAGCAAATATCCTTCCCCAAAATAGCCTCCTGGATGTCTTGAAAACACTCCAAATTCAACATGTACAAAACCAAGTTAACTCTCACCTAAAGTTTTTCAATCATCTCTTTTGTGCCACTCTGGAAAATAGTTTGGGGATCACTAAAAATATCAAACATAGAGTTATCATACAATCTAGCAATTATAATGCTAGGTATATTCCCCCAAAAAGTTAAAACATAGTTCTGCACAAAATTGGTACATTAATATTCATAGATCATTATTTGGAATACCCAAAAAGTAGAAGCAACCCTAGTATCCACCAATTGATGAGTGAGTAAACAAAATGTGGTGTATCTATACAATAGAATATTACTCAGCCATAAAAGTGAATGAAATACTGACACATGGTATAATATAGATGAACTTTGAAAAGGTGATGCTAAATGAAAGAAGCAGACAGAAATTATATGGTCCATTTATATGAAATTTCCAGAATATTCAAATCCATCAAGACAGAAATAGATTAATGGTTGCCAGGGAATGGGATAGAAGGAGACGGGAAATAATCTCTAATGGGTATGAAGTTTCTTTTGGGGTAATGAAAACATTCTAAAGTAGATAGGGTGATGGTTACACAACTCTGTGAATATATCAAAAACCACTGAATTTTGTAGTTTAAAAGGATGAATTTTGTTACATGAATTGTATCTCAATTTCAAAATAAAACATCTTTTCCTATGATCCTTTTTTCAATGTATGACACCATCACTCCATCACAATCACATTCACTAACCTTGAAAATGTAACATCTTTGGCTTCCTGTCATCCCCAACACATAAAAAATGTCAAAATATTTCCAGTTTTCTCTTTAAATAATCTCTCTGAGCCATTATCTCCAAGTAAGGGATCATCTTGAATATATGCATAAGGTAGAAATATTAATTCTCAATTTTTCATGGTGCTTTATAGTTGACAAAGCTCTATTCTTCATCTTATTATCAAATGAACCCTGTAACAATGAAAAAAAAAAACAAATAATTAAGTGATTTACCAAAGTTATATAAGTTGGTTTTAAACCCAAGACGTTTGATCCAGAGTCCAACATTTCTTTTGCAGCATGTATTGTGCACCTTGTATGGACATACATACAATCACTGGAAAATATCTGCAGTAGGGACAATTCATTCTCTCCAATTGTAAAGGAAGGAAGGCAAAGGTTAAAGACATACGGACAACCTCTCATTTATAGCTGCTAAGGGGAGAGAACAATCATCACTTGAAGGTCGCCTCACCTCTCCCTGCTGGAGAAGTGGAATTCAAATGCCAGTCCGTAGACAAACAGAGAGCAGCAAGCCTTGATAATTACCACCTGATAATTGGATTTTCTAAATTATATATTTGTTATGCAGAATGAATTTTAAATAAATTAACCATCAATACTTTAAATTAGAGGTTCTCGATATGAGATTATTTTGCCCCTCCACCCCCAGGGACATTTGACAGTCCTGGAGATTTTTGTCAGAACTAGGTAGAAGTTGGCAGGTGCTATGAGAAGTCAGTCAATAGAAGTCAAGGATACTGCTAAACTTCTTACAATGTACATGACAGCTCCCCAAACAAAGAATTATCCAGTACAAATGTCAATAGTGCTGAAGCAAACAAAACAAAACAAAACAAAATGGGGTGGGGGAGATACCTGGGTGGCTCAGCAGTTAAGCATCTGTCTTTGGTCAGGGTGTGATCCTGGAGTCCCAGTATCGAGTCCCACATCGGGCTCCCTGCATGGAGCACGCTTCTCCCTCTGCCTGTGTCTCTGCCTCTCTCTCTCTCTCTCTCTCTCTCTCTTTGTGTCTCTCATGAGTAAATAAATAAAATCTTTTTTAAAAAAATAGTGCTGAGGCTGAAAGAACCTGCTTTAATTTTTTTTTAAGATTTTTATTTATTTATTCATGAGACACACACACACACACAGAGGCAGAGACATAGGCAGAGGGAGAAGCAGGCTCCACACAGGGAGCCCAATGGGGGACTCCATCCCGGGACTCCAGTATTATACCCTGGGCCAAAGGCAGGCCCTAAACCACTGAGCCACCCAGGGATCCTGAGAACCCACTTTAAATGTATTTTTAGTTACTAAGGATTGCAAGCTATATTCCCAACTGGCAGATCTCTGTTGTTTGGATGTAAAGGACTCACACCAAAACAGTTCATGGCCCAAGATTCTCAGGCTTTGCTTAAAATAAACAGTTCTTGTGGATTCAATTCAGTTGACCTAAAACTTTAATGTTTACCTACTGTATTCAAAGCACTAGGCTATGCACAATTGGGAAATATGGAAATAATTATAACATGCTCCATACCTTTCAGGAACTTCTAATTTATTAAATGTGCCAACTTCCTAAAGAACAAGGACAATGCATTCTCAGTACCTATCAGAATTTTTCAAAATTTTCCCCAAATTGTCTCAAGTTCCATACCCAACTTCACTTCCTCCTTTTGTTCAAAGACTTTGACTTATACCTGGCAGAGAAAATTGAGTCCCTCTGAATGAACCAATTTAGTCTTTGCTTCCTCTCTTCTATATTTGTATCCAATTTTCCCTCCATCTTTCAAGTCTCAGAGAAGGGGCATCCCTCATGTTCTCCAAGTCCAACTCCTCTGTTCCATTTTTCTTTTTAGTCCCCTCACCCAACTGCATCATCTTTTAAGAACATACTTGATTAATAAACGTATATCTAACTTACATAAAATACATGATTCAGTGATCAGAACATAGGAAGTGTCCAATGAAGTAGCTCTTATATTCCCTCTCTAGTTCAAGTCTTTCTGATCTCGAAACATAATATATTCTTAATCTATACCCATCTTTATTTTTTTCCTTCTCCTTGGAACCAACTTGTCTCTGTTCCCACGTTCTTATTTCCCCCTAACTTAACATTTTGAAACCTGATTCTGCCTCTACTACTCACTGAAATTGCTCTTGAAGATGATTACCTCCGTATTGCAAAATTCCAAAGACCACTGGTTCTTGAACTCGTTAAAGGATGTGCCCTTTCCTACAAAAATGACCATATATATACATATACAAAAAGTTTTCATAACATTTTCAAAGAACTGACTGATACATCCATTGACCTCTAGTCAAAGGGCATTGCATTTAACAGAAATTAGTTCTCACTGGAGAACTCTTGCATTTAACACTGTTTTCTCTGGATACCGGGGGCCAGAGAGAAGAAGAGATTTTACCATAACTTTTTGAACACTTATTCCATGCCAGAGCTATGTAAGATAAGCACAGAGAGATAACAGAATAAGATCTATATCCTTAAGAAACTTGAATTAAGTACTGTTTGGGGAAAGAAAAAATAGCTTTGAGATTTCAAACCTGGGTGCCTGGGAATATGGTGTTGGGATTTATTTAAAAAGGAAATCAGGTGGGCAGCCCGGGTGGCTCAGCACCGCCTTCAGCCTGGGGCGTGAGCTTGGGGACCCAGGTCGAGTCTCACGTCAGGCTCCCTGCATGGAGCCTGCTTCTCCCTCTGCCTGTGTCTCTGCCTCTCTGTGTGTGTGTGTCTCTCATGAATAAATGAATAAAATCTTTAAAAAGGGGGGAGGAGGGAAACCAATAGAGGTTATTTATGCTTACCAGTAAACCACCAACGTAAACAAAAAAAAAAGAGCCAAGGAAACAAAGTGATCTGGGAATTCAAGCACTTAAGTTTGGCCTTAGACACATTGTGATTGAGGAGTAAAGAAAGATATCCAGATGGAGAAATGGGGGGTGGCGGGGGATGGAGTTCTAGCCCTCATAATGGAGATTTTGGCCTACTAAGGAGAATCTGAAGCTCAAATTTGACTTGAATCAAGGATCAAACTAAGTAAGGTTTCAAAGGTCTTATTCTTTAGATAACCTTCCATAGAGAGATCTTTAAAAATCAGTATTTGGGTAAGAATTTTAAAATTTAAGCAGTGGATAAAGTCAATGGTCATTGGATTCAGATAGATGTGATGTTTGAGACCTTGAGCAAATATGTAAATTTACTAAGTGCTAATGTCTTCATCTGCAAAATCATCATCATCATAATAATAATAACATAATGTAATAATAATAATAATAACTAACTTACTATGTTGAAGAATATTTAGTGAATTGTACTGTCTTATATACAATAGATGGCCCTTAATTAAATCATGTGATTAAATTATATGACATCATTATTATTTTTACTATTGGAATTTTATTTTAATTAAGTGCTCATTTATAAAGTCTTGAAGACTTTTAAATCAACTTTTTTGTTATTGTTTTATCCCATCCATATTCAAGAAAAAGAGCCAAGAAGGTATATTTCATAAATTATAACTTCCTGGCATCAGTTCCTTGAATGTTCTGTACCTTCATCCATCTATAGGATGATGGTAACTTACTTACATACAGATTTATGAACCTAAGGCTCTTAGAGTTTTTCAGTTACAAAAAAAGTTGGAATGAATGAAGACAATTGAGTCATTAATTTATTAATTCATTTATTCATTGAATGCACATTGAATATATTCTATATGCCAGGCACTGTGATAGGTATTGACAATAAGGAATAGAAAAGGGGCAGCCCGGGTGGCTCAGTGGTTTAGCACCACCCTCAGCCCAGGGTCTGATCCTGGAGACCCAGGATCGAGTCCCATGTCGGGCTCCCTGCATGGAGCCTGCTTCTCCCTCTGGCTGTGTCTCTGCCTCTCTCTCTCTCTCTCTCTCTCTCTGTGTGTGTGTGTGTCTCTCATGAATAAATAAATAAATAATATTTTTAAAAAGACTATATCTATATAAAGATTATAGACTTATAAGGACATTTAAAAAATGATTTCACTAATTTACAATTCTAAACTGTGATAAGTACCAGAGATGAAAAGAAGAGCAAGTTAGGAAATAATGTGGTAGGGAATCTGATCTATTTGGACATCCAAAGAAAGCCTCCTTGGAGAAGTGATATTTGAACTGAAGAGTCAATTGAGTGATTGTCAGGGGATGGGGCACAGTGAAGAGTTTTCTAAGCAGAGGAAACAGCATATGTCAGGACTCTACAGAAGAAGGGTAGAATGTAACTTAGAGAAAGAGAAAGAGGGAAAATCAAGTTCTATTAGCAGATGTGTCAGCAATAGAGGAACACTACTTAGATCTCCATTTAAAGAACTTCCTCTGAGAAGTATGGTTGATTGTCAGCCTCTAGACAACACACTTTGGATCAAAGTGTTCATACTGAGACAAGGTTTTTGCCAAGTTGCTTTCAACCAGTGACTAAGCACAGTGTAGGTGCTAGAGCTTTGTCATTCCCACTTGACACCTCGAATAGGCAATCTTTGCTTAGAGATTTCTCATTAGCCTGGTCAACGATTTCTCAAAATTGCACTGTAGTCTGAAACTCTTTCCACTTATTAACCTTCTTCTTTCCCTTTATCTTGTGGTTACTTCTGTTCCCTTACCCTAACCATTCACACACTTTAGAGCAATCCCAAATGTACCATTTTCATCTTAGAATGGACTACTCCTGTCCCCATTTGACTTAAAATTGGTGGCTCTGACACAATCCAGCCCATAATGGGTAGTTCCCATTGCATGTTCTTTTGGTGACCCATCAGCAAGCCTTCTGTTTCTTCTAGGACCCAGTAACCCACAGGAAACTACTTCTCCAAAGGCATATAATTTTCCCTTGCAGATGACATGGCCATATCCAGAATCTCAGGGACCTATGGTGCGATTCTCCCAATAGGGTTTACCATAAACTCAATACTACATCTTTCCCACCACTGACTCTTGAAATTCTGTAGGAAAAATAAAATAAAATAAAATAAAATAAAATAAAATAAAATAAAATAATAAAATAAAATTCTGTAGGGTCTGCACAAGCAGCAGGGTTGCTTGCACTGCAGTCTGGACCTCAAAAATGACCTCAAGGCCACCAAGAATATACTGAGGAGAAGGGGTATTGACATCACTCAAAACTGCAATAGTGGCCC